TCTTTCTCTCTCTCTCTCCCACAGAGGTTCAGCCTGGGCCAACACCCTTTCACAGAATCTGCAAGCGTTTCTCCTCTTCCTCTTCATCTGGTGGAGAAAGATCCACAAGGAGACCTGGGGAGGTAGTAGAAAAGCAGAATATTTTTGTGACCTGGGCAGGGAGGGTTGAGAGAATCACGGGCACAGCTAGAAACACTTTTTTTTCCTCCACTCTTTTATTTTCGTGAGAAGTAATGATCCATTTTCAGACATTTATTCATTTATTCTCTTAATTTGATTTATATGGCCACTCATCTCACCAAAGGTAATCCTGGCTGGGCTACAAGAAACCTGTATAACAAAGCACACACAGAGACACACACCTCCTCACACACACACAGAAACACAGACACTCAAGTAGATACACAGACATAACATAGACACGTGGACACAACATAGACACATAGAGACAGACAGATACACAAACACAATATAGACACACAGACACAGATACACAAACACAACATAGACACACAGACACAACATAGACACACAGACATGGGCACAGACAGATACACAAATATAATATAGACACACAGAGACACAGACATACACAGACGCAACATAAATACACAGACACAACATAGACACAGACAGATATACAAGCAAAATATAGACACATACACAGACACAACAGACATACAGTCACAACTTAGACACAAACATAGATACACACACATACACAGACACAACAGACACACAGACATAACAATAACCCACAGATCCACATAGACTCACACACAGATACACAGACACAACGTAGATGCACAGACACAACATAGACTCACAGATCCACATAGACTCACACACAGATACACAGACACAACAGACACACAGACATAACATAGATCCACAGATCCATATAGACTCATACACAGATATACAGATACAACATAGATGCACAAACACAACATAGACTCACAATCCACATAGACTCACACACAGAGACACAGAGACAACAGACACACAGACATAACATAGACCCACAGATCCACATAGACTCACACAGAGATACACAGACACAACATAGACGCACAGACACAACACAGGCACACAGACACAACATAGACACACAGACACACAGATGCAACATAGACCCACAGATATAGACCCACAGATACAGACACACAGACACACACTCAGCCACTGCTCCAACACTGGAGGTTTATATGAAGAAATTGGACAACCATTTGTCTGAAATAGTATAGGGTCTCCTGCTTGAGCAGGGGGTTGGACTAGAAGACCTCCAGGGTCCCTTCCGACTCTGTTAGTCTGTTATTCAGACACACGCACACATAAAACACACAGACAAACAGACACAGACAGACAAGGCCCTCGCCCTGACATGGAAGCCCTTGTGTTTTACAGGCTGGACGATGGACTGTCTGCAGGAATGGGGTCCCTTCGTCCGGCTGGCCCTGCCCAGCATGTTTATGATCTGCATTGAGTGGTGGACTTTTGAGATTGGCAGCTTCCTCGCAGGTGAGACCCCCACACCCCTTTTCTCTCTCGGCCAGCAGGGGCCGTTGTCTCTCTGGGCGAGTCACTCTACGGTTCGGTGGCGTTATACAGGTAGTCCTCGACATACGACCACACATGATTTATGTTGCTAAGCGAGACATTTGTTAGGTGAGTTTTGTCCCGTTTTACAACCCCATAGTTGTTAAGTGAATCACTGCAATCGTTGAGTGAGTCACACGGTTGTTAAGTGAATCTGGCTTCTCAGAAGGTTGCAGAAGCGGATCACGTGACCCCCCCCCTGGGATGCTGCGACCGTCATAAATACGAGTCAGTTGCCAAGTGTCTGAATGTTGATCACGCGATCATGGGGAGGTTGCAACGGTCGTTAAGTGTGAAAAATGGTCACAAGTCCCTTTTTTCAGTGCCGTCGTAACCTTGAACGGTCACTAAATGAACCGCTGTAAGTCGAGGACTGCCGTATAAGTACTCCTCCACTTAATGACCGCAACTGACCCCCCCCAAACTGCTCTGCATGGGCCCTGACAACATGGCACTCCTTCGGATTGTCTGGTTCCTGTTGGTTGATGCAGTTGCGGATCCAAAGTTTTTCACTTTCACTTTCACTTTCCGTGATGATGCGGATAGTCGGTCCCACCGTCAGCCAGATGTTCAGACCGGATTTGGCAGGTTTCTGTCTACTGGTCAAGTTCCTTCTCAAGAACCTGGGATAGACAGATAGAACCTGGGATAGACAGATGTCGAATAATATTTAAAGCTTTTGTCGCGGGATGTCAGCTGTTCTGAGTAAAGCTGCCTTTTGCAATTGATCGATGGTGAATTTTTTTCAATGCCGATGGGGTTCGAGTGGTGCTGCAGATGTTTTGGGATGGCACCCAAGAGGCCTCTCATATATTAAATATCTTGTTGAATATACTGATACTACCTTTACTTTCTTTTGCCGCGGTCGTTCTGTTTTCATTTTGTGATCTTTTCCATTTCTTCCTCTTCTGCTCTGCTGTCTCCCAGTGCTGCCACATCCACTATCCGGATTTTCTGGATTTTCTTATCAACAGTTGTTAAGCCGGGGGGGGGGGGGGGGCTTGTGTAGCAGCTGCCTATCTGTTTGAATTCTAAAATCCCAGAGCCCTTCAGTTATAGGGTTTCCTGCCTGAGTAGAAGGTTGGACTAGAAGACCTCTAAAATCCCTTCCTACTTTTCTATTCTATTCTATTCCATTCCATTCCATTCCATTTTATTCTATTCTATTTTCTATTCTATTCTATTCTATTCTATTTTCTATTCTATTCTAATTCTATTCTATTCTATTCCATTCCATTTTATTCTATTTTCTATTCTATTCTATTCCATTCCATTCCATTCCATTTTATTCTATTTTCTATTCTATTCTATTCTATTCTATTCTATTCTATTCTATTCTATTCCATTCCATTCCATTCCATTCCATTTTATTCTATTCTATTTTCTATTCTATTCTATTCTATTCCATTCTATTCTATTTTCTATTCTATTCTAATTCTATTCTATTCTATTCTATTCTATTCCATTCCATTCTATTCTATTCTATTCTATTCTATTCTATTCTATTCTATTCCGTTCTATTCCATTCCATTCCATTTTATTCTATTTTCTATTCTATTCTATTCTATTCTATTCTATTCTATTCTATTCTATTCTATTCTATTCTATTCCATTCCATTTTATTCTATTTTCTATTCTATTCTATTCCATTCCATTCCATTCTATTTTCTAGTCTATTTTCTATTCTATTCTATTCTGTTCTATTTCTTCATTTTCTATGACTTTGTCGCAGGCAAATGGAGCAGTTGGTCCTCCACTTACAACCATTCATTTAGTGACCGTTCAAAGTTACAACGGCACTGGAAAAGGGACTTACCGACTATTTCTCACAATGCTGCAGCATTCACATGGTCATGTGATCAAAATTCGGATGCTTGACAACTGGTTTCTATTTATGACGGTTGCAGTGTCTCAGGGTCACATGATCCCCTGTTGCGACTTTCTGACAATGACCATTTTTCACACTTACGGCCTTTGCAGCATCCCCATAGTCACATGATTAACATTCAGATGCTTGGTAACTGATTCATATTTATGACGGTTGCCGTGTCCTGGGGGCCATGTGATCCCCTTTTGTGACCTTCTGATAAGCAAAGTCAATGTGGACTCCAGATCCACTTAACAACCGTGTTACTCACTTAACATCTGCAGTGATTCACTAAACAACCACAACAAGAACGGTCGTCCAATCGGGCAAAACTCAAAACTACTGTCTTGCTTAGCAATGGAAGTTTTGGGCTTATTTATGGTCATAAGTTTGAGGACTACCTGTATTTCTCGCAGATGTATGATTGTTATTGCCATTAAATTTATATGCTCGCTTCGGCAGCACATATACTAAAATTGAAACGATACAGAGAAGATTAGCATGGCCCTGCGAAATATAATAACGGCGGCAAGAATAGCATATGCACAGTGCTGGAAAAATGAGAATATACCATCAGAGGAAGAAGTGATAAGAAAAATCCTAGACTGTGCTGAGATGGACAAATTAACAAAAGAGATAAAAGAAAAGGAAGACACAGAGTACTATATAACATGGAACAAGTTGTATGACTGGTTGGAGACTAGAAATAATAGAGGAGAATAAATATGGAAAGGTCAAAAGTGAAAATATGTGTATAATAATGTATAATAATAATAATATGAATTATTCTTAGTAAGAAGTAGAATATGAAGGAAGAAAAATGTAAATAAACAACGGGGCAGTAAGGACAAATATTCTAAAGAAGAGTAAGGGGGGAAATGTAAATAATAGAAGATTACTGTTACGTAATCGCTGTTAAAAAAGGTGTATGTGTGTGTATGTGTGTTATGTTTTGCTTTGTTTTGTTTTGTTTTGTTGGTTAAAAATAAAATAAAAATTTAATAAAAAAAATATTATATGCTGCTTTTTTTGTGTAATGCTTCTGGATCTCAACCATGTTTCTTTCCCCTAAGGATTAATGAGTACGGTTGAATTAGGGGCTCAATCCATCATCTACGAACTGTCGACCATCGCGTATCTGGTAAGAATTTGCCAAATTCTGAAAAAGAATTAACACCAATAGCGTGAGAAGCAAGAAACATGGCAGTTTATGCAGGTAGTCCTCGACTTACAACCACAATTGAGCCCAGCATTTCTGTTGCTAAGTGAGACATTTGTTAAGCGGGTTTTGCCCCATTTTATGACCTTTCTTGCTGCAGTTGTTTAGGGCAGGGCTTTTCAACTTTTTCACCCACTGTAGCACTTTAAGGATATGGCAACATCCGAGGACCACCTGTCGCCTAGCAAGGTGTCAAAAACTTGATGACCCCCCCCCAAAAAGAAAAAAGTGATAAAGTACAGGTAGTCCTCGACTTACAACAGTTTGCTTAGTGACTGTTCGAAGTTACAATGGCACTGAAAAAAGTGCCCCCCCAAGCCACAGCAGAGCAAGACACCTGCCTGCGCACCTGGCGGTGCTCTTCCTCCTGTCCGAGGTTTTCATTGTTGTGAGCATTTCTGTTGAGGATTGGCAGCGGGGGTGGGTGGGGGGGGTGTTTGGTTTTTATTCCCCCATATGCTGGGTGGTTGCAGCTGGTTTTGGTCACTTCACATGACCCTGGGACACTGTGACCATCATAAATATGAATCGGTTGCCAAGCATCTGAATGAAAATCACAAGACCCTGGAAAGGCTGCAACATTCCAGCTGATCGGCGCTTCTTCTGGGCTCAGCAGAAGCACCAGGATCAGCACTGAGCTCCAGCTGGAGCCTGGCGCTGATCCTCATGCTTCCGCTGAGCCCTGACAGCCCTGCAGCTCCAGCCGTCTCTCGCTCAGGCTTGTGTGGTGCTGCCGCCAGTTCAGCTCATTCCCCTCCCCCGCTACCACTTTTCTAGGATGCTTGTGTACCACCTGCCAGGTGCCAATGGACCACAGGTGGTACCCGTACCACTGGTTAAAAAGCACTGGTTTAGGGAATCACGGCAGATGTTAAGTGAGTAACATGATTACTCTGAGTGTAGACCACATGCAAGGGATGAGAAGTTATGGACCAGTGGTTCTCAACCTTTTTAATGCCGCGACCCCCAACTGGTTGTAAGTCGAGGACTACCCAACCGGTCGTAAGTCGAGGACTTTCCCTGCCCGGGAGCGCCATGCATGCGTGGTGCTGCCCCCTGCGCCAGCTGAGGCGTAGCTGGCAAGCGGCAGAGACGGCGCAGGCCGACCACCGGCTGGGCCACCAGCTGGCCCAGCCCAAGGGAAGTAAGGCACCCGCCGGGCCCCACGCGCGCCAGCAACCCTCCCTGCGCCCGCCGGCCTCCCACCTCCCACCCCTGGCCCTCTTTTACTTACATTTTTAGTAGTTGCTCAGCAGGGAGGGGTGGAAGCTTCCAGACAGCTCGCCTTCGCTGCAGACAACGTGCAGCACCGTTTGCAGAAGGGGACTTTTGGCGGGCTCAGCAGGGCAGAGACAGCCTGGACAATTCCTATTGGCTTTGGAAAGCTAATAGAATTAGACTCTATTCAAGAGAGTTTATTCTATTGGCTTTCAAAAGCCAATAGAATAAAAGGGAGTAGCACAGCTAAGGAAAAGGGGGAAAAAAATGGCGGACTGCGTTGTTTGGCGACCCCCGTGAAATGGTTGTTCGACCCCAAATGGGGTCCCGACCCACAGGTTGAGAACCACTGTTATAGATTGATGCGCTCAGCTTAACCATCTGATGCTGGTGGACATGTGGTAGTCCTGGCCTTAGAAGCACAATGGAGTCCAAAACGTCTATTGCTAAGCAAGACAGTTTTTAAGTGAGTCTTGCCCCATTTTATGACCTTTCTTGCCCCAGTTGTTAAATGAATCTGGCTTCCCCATTGACTTGGCTTCTCGGAAGCTCGCAAAAGAGGGTCACATGACCCTCCCTGGGACCCAGCAACCGTTATAAATATGAACCAGTTGCCAAGCGTCCGAGTATAGGTCACGTGATCATGGGGATGCTGCAATGCCCATCAGTGTGAAAAATAATCGTCAGTCACTTCTTTCAGCACCGTTGTAACTTTGAACAGTCACTAAATGAATGGTTGTAAGTCAAGGACTGCTCGTATGCCTTTTGTTGGGTTAGAGCAGTGGTTCTCAACCTGTGGGTCGGGACTCCATTTGGGGTCGAACGACCATTTCACGGGGGTCGCCAAACAACGCAGTCCGCCATTTTTGCCCCCTTTTTCTTAGCTGTGTTACTCCCTTTTATTCGATTGGGTTTTGAAAGCCAATAGAATAGACTCCCTTGAATAGAGTCTAATTCTATTGGCTTTCCAAAGCCAATAGGAATTGTCCAGGCTGTCTCTGCCCTGCTGAGCCCGCCAAAAGTCCCAGTCTGCAAACGGTGCTGCACCCGTTGAATAGTCCTCGACTTACGACCGGTTGAGTAGTCCTCGACTTACACTGGTTGGAGGTCGCGGCATTAAAAAGGTTGAGAACCACTGGGTTAGAGGTTAACCCTGATTGACTTTGCACAAAAGAAAAATCTCCAAACTGGTGCAAAAACCACTCACAGAAGCTTCTTCTCAGCTGCCACAGGGGATGAGCGTGGCTTCCAGTGTCCGCGTGGGTAACGCCTTAGGCGCCGGAGATGTTGACCAGGCTAAGAGGTCATGCATTATGGCCCTCCTTTGCACCGGTGAGTATATATGACTCTTTAAGCCCTGGAAGGGGGGGGTGGAGAAGTTCCAATTCATGCCCGCTGGGGAATGCTGGGAGTTGAAATTAACCTATCTTAAAGTGGCTAAGGTTAAGGAGCACAGCTTTGGTGGGCGCTTGCCCTGAGCAAAGGGGTTAGACTAGAAGACCTCAAAGAGCCTGCTAGTTTAGGAGAGCCTCAGAAACCATGTAGATCCTTCTGATAGAGATGGATGGATGGATAAAGGGATAGAAGGATGGATGGAGGGAGGGATAGTTCAATATAGATAGATTAGATAGATATCTGTCTATCATGTATATCATCATCTATCTATCTATCCATTCATCTATTTATCATATGCCCATATCTATCTATCTATCTATCTATCTATCTATCTATCTATCTATCTATCTATCTATCTATCTATCTATCTATCTATCTATCTATTCATCTATTTATCATATGCCCATGTCTATCTATCTATCTATCTATCTATCTATCTATCTATCTATCTATCTATCTATCTATCTATCTATCTATCTATCTATATCCATCCATCCATCTATCTATCTATCCATCTATTCATCATTTATCCATCCATCCATTATCCATCTATCTATTGCTATCATCTATCTATCTATCCATTCGTCTATTTATCATGTATTTATCATCTATCTATCTATCTATCTATCTATCTATCTATCTATCATCTATCTTTCTATCTATTCATCTATTTATCATTTATCCATCCATCCATCCATCCATCCATTCATTTATCCATCTATTTTTCTATCTATCTATCTGTCATCTCTCTCTATCCATTTACCTATTTATCATCCATCCATCCATCCATCCATCCATCTATCATCTATCTATCTATCTATCTATCTATCTATCTATCTCCATCCATTCATCTATCTATCATATCTCTCTCTCTCTCTCTCTCTCTCTCTCTCTCTCTCTCTCTCTCTCTCTCTCTCTCATCTATCTACCTATCTATCTATAGATGCATAGAGATGAATGGATGGATAGGTAGGTAGATAGATAGAGATGAATGGATATACAGTATGCAACCGCATTGAAGATGCCCCCCCCCGAACGGAGATGAAACATTCCCCCCCCCCCTGGCATGGGACCCACCTTCTCTCTCCCTTCACAGGGGTTCTTGCGGTGGTTTTCGCTGGGCTGCTGGCAGCTGTGAAGGACGTGGTGGCCTACATCTTCACCAACGACCTGTAAGGCCCTCTTTTCATTATCTCTCTTCTCAAGATACCCCAGGAGGGGGACGAATGAAAGGGAGTCTGCCCGTTGCCCCTCTGCCTGTACAGGTAGTCCCGGATTTACGCCCGTTCTTGAGTTATGACGGAGCCTCCAAAAGCTACTTATGAAGCATCTTCCAACTTGTGATGGCCGTGTACACACACACACACATACAGAGAGTTATACAATTGCATTTTGTGAACTTCCTCGTGTTCTTGGGGGAAGAGGATGCCAGTTGCCCCTCTTTGTGAGTCACAGCGGTGTCTCCTCCACAGACACAATCCAGCACGTCAGAACAACTCCACCCATTTGCTTCTAGTGATCCGTCTAATGAAAAGAAAACCAACGTAGCGTTGAATGGATGCTACTTGATTCGCTTCAGGGTCCTAACCCCAGAATTTTGCCTTAAGGGAAATTTTGGCCACCTCGTTTTTTCTTTTTTAGGACATTAAGCGAATCACCCGGTCGTTAAATGAATCTGCCTTCCCCTTTTCAGTTTGTTTGTTGGTAGGTCACAAAATGGCGACCACCATATTATAAATACTGGCCGCTTGACAAACATCCCAATTTTGATCACAGGACCAGGCGGATGATGCGACGGTCGTAAGTGCGAGGACTGGTCATAAATTGTTGGTTTGGGTTTTTTTTAGCGCTGTTGTAACTTTGAACGGATGCTAAATGAAGGGTTGTAAATCTAAGACTACCTGTACATCCTCCAATGAGCTTTTTCCTGGGCAGACTTTAGAACTCAGATCTCCTAATAATATTATTTTTTTCTTCCCTCAATAGAGAGATCGTGTCTTTGGTGTCCAAAGTGATGCTAATCTTTTCCCCTTTTCACCTGTTCGATGCCACCGCGGTGAGTTTATGGCGGTTGCAAAGCCCCTGGGTGGGGTGTGATGGGGGGGAGCCAAATGGGCTTTGTAAAAAGCCTTTCCTGTTTATTCGAACAGGTTTCTAGTCCTCATGACTACAAATAGAACCCATTCCTGTGGAAATCGTAGTTCCTGGATAAATATATTTTTTTTATTCTTGATTTTATTTTTATTTTGGCCCTTAGGGGAGTCCTAGCACTGGCAAAACTTGAAAGTATGTGCAGACAATCAGGATGGAAGAAAACAATCTTAGGAGCTGTGAAGCTCAGGGTTCCTCTTTCGATGGGGTTCTCTGCAGATTCACACATGCAATCTGATTAGAAGTAGAATAACCGAGTTGGAAGGGACCTTGGAGGTCATCTAGTCCAACCCCCTGCTCAGGCAGGAAACCCTATGCCATTTCAGACAAATGGCTGTCCAGTCTCTTCTTAAAAACTTCCATTGTTGGAGCATTCACCGCTTCTGGAGGCAGGCTGTTCCACTGGTTAATTGTTCTCACTGTCAGGAAGTTTCTCCTTAGTTCTACGTTGCTTCTCTCCTTGATGAGTTTCCATCCGTTGCTTTTTGTCCTGCCTTCAGGTGCTTCGGAGAATAAGTTGACTCCCCTCTTTGCGATGGGCCCCCAAATATTGGAAGACTGCTATCATGTCCTCCCTTGTCCTTCTCTTTATTGAATTAGACATACTCAATTCCAGCAACTGTTCCTTATATGTTTTAGCCTCCATATAAAGAACGGTTGCTGGAATTGGGTATGTCTACAGTAGTGGCCAAAATTGTGGAAACCTTTTGGGAAAAGTGTAATTTTTAGGTTTGATGGCTAATAACACCACCCCCCTCCTTTTTTTTTGGAGTAGTACCATAAATTATATATCAGTGGAAAGGTAATTTAATCAAGAATGCAATGCGACAAAGTTTGTTCAATTATCTGTACTGTATTCTATGAAAAGGTATAGCCAAATAACCAGAAAAAGGAAGCACAACTTGCTCAGGTTGGTCTCAGGTAGCTTTCCTTCACCTGATGGTAGCCAATACTAGGACTACCTGTACAAGTTGGGAAGCCAGAACAGGGCATCATCCAGAGACACACTTTGAACAGTCACTAAATGAACTGTTGTAAGTCAAGGACAAGCTATACTAGCTGGGAAGCCGGAACAGGGCATCATCCAGAGACACACTTTGAACGGTCACTAAATGAACTGTTGTAAGTCAAGGACTATCTGTATTAGTTGGGAAGCCAGAACAGGGCATCATCCAGAGACACACTTTGAATGGTCACTAAATGAACTGTTGTAAGTCAAGGACTATCTGTACTAGCTGGGAAGCCAGAACAGGGCATCATCCAGAGATACACCAGGAGAGTCTCCCCTACAGGTGGATGGTTTGAACCCGTATCCATTTTTCAAAATGGAATTGTGTCCTTTGGCCAACCACATTCCCTGGGCTACCTTCAAGCAGCTCGACAGAATGTGCCTGTTCTCAGGACGATAACCTTGTGAGGTAGGCCAGCTGAGTGAAGTTTTTAATCCATCCTCGTCTCCGGATCAAAAAAAACCCTTCGGGAGACTCTCTTAGAGAATCTCCCTAATCTCTCTGCTCTGCCTCTGTTCGCCAGGCCACTTGCGGAGGTGTGCTGAGGGGTGCCGGCAAGCAGAAAATTGGCGCCATCGCCAACGCGGTAGGCTACTACGTCATCGGATTGCCCATCGGGATTACGCTGATGTTCGTGTACAAGCTTGGTGTAATGGGTGAGCCAGCCACCAAATGCCATTTTCCTTTGCAAGCTGCACTCCAGATGTTCGGCTTGGTCTATGGGACTGTCAGGAACACCAGCCAGATGTGCCTCAAACAGTGATTGAGATGGAATAGAATAGAATAGAATAGAATAGAATAGAATAGAATAGAATAGAATAGAAGTAGAAGTAGAAGTAGAAGATGGAATGGAGTAGAATAGAATAGAGTAGAAGTAGAATAATGGAATGGAATTGAATGGAATGGAATGGAATGGAATAATGAAAGAATGGAATGGAATAGAATAGCATATAGAATAGCATATAGAATAGAATAGAATAGTATAGAATAGAATAATGGAATGGAATAGAATAGAATGGAATGGATTAATGGAATGAAATGGAATGGAATAATGAAAGAATGGAATAGAATAGAATAGAATAGAATAAAATAGAATAGAATAGAATAGAATAGAATAGCATATAGAATAGCATATAGAATAGAATAGAATAGAATAGAATAGAATAGAATAGAATAGAATAGAATAGAATAGAATAGAATAGAATAATGGAATGGAATGGAATGGAATGGAATGGAATAGAATAGAATAGAATATATGGAATGGAATGGAATAGAATAGAATCTGAAAGATCCCTTTAGGAAGATCACAATTGGTCCCTCCCCAACTGGTGGAAGTGAGTCCCATGGCCAAACTCACTACCTAAAACAATGTTTCTCAACCTCAGCAGTTTTTAAGATAGGTGGACTTCAAGTCCCAGAATTCCTCAGCCAACATGCTTTAAGAGGGGTGGACTTCCATTCCCAGAATTCCCCAACCAGCATGCTTTAAGAGGGGTGGACTTTCACTCCCAGAATTCCCCAGTCAGCATGCCCTCCCCAGCTTAGTAGTTCCTAGAGCGACTATGGTCCAACCTACCTCGTAGGTCTATTATGGGGGAAAATGGGAGGAGGCTGGCTGGGGAATTCTGGGAGTTGAAGTCCACCCGTTTTAAAGCTTCAGAGGTTGAGAAACACAGTTCTAGAGCCAACCTCTCGCTCTCCCTGCAGGCCTGTGGACCGGTTTGATCGTTTGCATCTCTCTGCAAGCGGCATCTTTTTTGCTTGTCGTCTTGCGCATGAACTGGAAAAAAGCCGCCGAAGAGGTAGATCTCTTGCCTGCAGGTTTGATTGCGCTTTGTCCTCAAGTAGTGCCAGCTGAGGAATGGGTTCATGGGCTTGACTCAGAATAAAACAGCAAGCCGTGAAGTATGGCAGCTGGCTCTTCGCAAAAATGTTCAAAACGAGACCAATTTTGTTTTGCTTGTTTGTTTCTTTCCTCTCTCTCAGGCCCAGATCCGAGCTGGATTAACAGACCGACTAGGAAGTCCTCAGCAGTCTTCCGGTGCGGGTAAAAACACCCTATTATCCCTTACTCTTTGTGCGATGTGTGTCTCTGTGTGTGTGTGTTTTTAACAGTGTGAAAAAAGGTTTGGAGAGTCTTTAAAAAGCACCTTGCAAGGTTTATTCAGATGATTTATGGGTTGATTGCATTTTAGATTTGCTCCATGCAACGTGTTGTTCGCTTTGATTATTTTTGCAAATAACTCAAGGGGCAAACATATACAATGCACTTCCTTCTCCTGTTTTCTCCACAACAACAACCCTGTGAGGTGGTTAGGCTGAGAGGGAGGAAGTGGCCGAAAATCACCTGGCTGGATTTAATGGCTAAGGCAGGACTAGAACTCACCTCTCCAAAGTGAACAACGGCACTGAAAAAAGTGACTGTATGATCGTTTTTCACATTACCATTGCAATATCCCCAGGGTCACATGATCAAAATTTAGAGGCTTTAGATTTTTAGAAGGAAGATAAAGTTTACTCCTCAACTATTTTTACTGAGTATTTTCGTTGATTTAAATGAAAAATAAACTATCTTGATGTTGAATTTAGTAACTGCAGCAAGTTTATTAGTAGGTTTATACTGGAAGAAAGATTCTTTGCCTACTTTAGAAGAATGGACATTTAAAGTATCTAGTCTTGCAGAAATGGCAAAAATCTCTGCTTATTTAAAGGATCATACACAAGAAAAATATATCACTGTATGGAGAAGATGGATAGATTATATTCAGAAAAAGTATGGAATTAAAAAGTTTCACTTATTTTATGAATGAATATTATAACAAATATTATAGAGAATTGTCTTATAGGTTATGGAGTTAAAGGTTAATTATGATATTTTCTTTTTTCTTTTCTTTTTTTCTTTTCTTTTCTTTTTCATTATTATAAATTTGGTTATTATTAACCCTGTGTTCTGCTCTGGGAAGTGAGGGAGGGGGGTTGGGGGTGGGAGGGAGGGTAAGAGGGGGGGTAAGTGTAGTATAGATAATGGTTGTTTATAGGAGTGCGGCCCCAGGCACTCCCTTTATGCTGTGTTCATGGGTTTGATAGGGATGGGAGGAGAGAAGGTGTAGAGAGGAAGTAGGGTGTTGAGAGGAGAGGGGGAGGGGAAAAGAGTAGGTGGGGAGGAGAGAAAGAGAAGGGAAGTAGGGAATGTTTTAAGAAAGGGTGGACGCGGCCTGGGGGGCATGGGCGGGCCGCACCAATGGTTATGAATTTATCTTATTTTAAAATTGTATTGTATTTTTATAATGTTTAAATGGAAAAAAATAAAAATTTTCAATATAAAAAAATTTTTTTAGAGGCTTGGCAACTGACATGTATTTATGACAGTTGCCGTGTGCCAGGTCATGTGATCAGCTTTTGCGACCTTCTGACCAGCAAAGTCAATGGGGAAGCTAGAGTCATTTAACAACTGTGCCACTAACGTAACTACTGCAGCGATTCACTTAACAACGCTGGCAAGGAAGGTGGTAACATGGGGCAAAATTTACTTAACAACTATCTCGCTTAGCAATAGAAGTTTGGGATTCCCTTGTGGTACTAAGGCCAGGACTACTGCCTGGCCACCAACATCGAACGGTTAAGCCGAGCGTCTCAATCTGCAATTTCTAATCCCTTGCATGTGGTCTGCACACAGATTATCTTGTGATGAATCTGGAGGTGCCCAACGGAGATACCCTCAGTTGTCTTGTCCACCAGGGCGAAAACTTAGCGGACCATCAGCCCATTCCCAGCGAACAGATGCCCCCATTCATGGTTTCCCCAATGCCAGGGGCCTTATCCTGCAGGCAACTTGTTTTCCGGCGTGGACTGGCACTGCTGTTAGCAGTCGCCATCTTGATTTTGGGGATTGTCATCCATCTCCTTCTCTGAGAACGGCGGAGCTGTGCAGCACGGGAGGACCAGACAAGGCAGCCAATTCGAATGGGCGTCCTGCTCACTCATCAGCGTTCATCCCAGAGGATCTAAGAGTGACTCAGCCTTGGATCTGATCTCCAAAGATAGTTGCTCCTCTACGATCAGCCTGGACCAATGATGGGGTCACCCATTTGATGTTGTTAAGGGATGGAAAGACTTAACTCACCTTTCAAGGCGTTTGGAAAATCACATTGGAATAAATCCAGGTGTTTAATTTTTTTCAAAAAAAAAAAATTGGTGTTTTCTATTTTAACCTTTTTTGAATAAAATAAAAATAGATATTAAAAAGGAAAAAAAATCACATTGGAATAAATCCAAGTGTCTTCTGTACACATTCACTGATAAAAATTCCTGGTTTTAAGAAATCTGTTGAAGGTTTGGTTGACCACTGGTGATTTCCATCAGCAATGTTTTGACCCAGATGTGGTCAAAAAAGTAAAGAGGGCAGCTTTCATGATACAACAAAAGCTCCAATTTTTGATGTGTGTAAAACATTCCACTGTGCTATTGTGGGTGCCATCTTGACTCTTTAGACCGATTATCCTGCTTGCAGCTCTAATGTTACTCCATGCCATTTATGTATAGGTGGTCCTCGACTTACAACCGCAATTAGACCAGACTTTCTGTTGTAAAGCGAGGCAGTTGTTAAGTGAGTCATGCCCAATTTTGCAAGTTTTTGCTCCTGTTGTTAAGTGAATCATGCTGTCATTAAACAAATCCGGCTTCCCCAACTAACTTTGCTTGTCGGAAGTCGGCTCGTAAGGTCACAAATATCAATCACACGACAACGGAATGTTGTAACTATTGTAAAATCATGCTGGTCGCTAAGCAACCCAATACTGATCAGGTGACCATAGGGATGCTGAGATGGTCATAGTGCGAGGACTGGCTGCAAGTCACTTTTTTTTTCAGTGCCGCTGTAATTTTGAACAGTCACTAAACGAATGGCTGTAAGTGGGGGCTAACTGTATTTCAAGAATGATTCTTAACAGCACAGAGTAAGCAGATTAAGACACCTCCACACAATCATTTTTAAAACCATGGAATCTCCCAATATGTGCAATGCTGTTACGTTATTATATTTTTTTTTTACAACACAAAGCACAGTATCTGTGATTTGTTTTCTTTTTTGTTGTTGTTGTTCCTTCTTTGTTCCCATTTTGGACAGTGATTAATTTTGCGGCTCAGGATTTTTACAAAAATAAACTTTTTTGTTAGATGGTGGATGCATTGCCAGGATTAGCAAAGGAGAGGTGAGCTTTGTCACCAGGAAATTAAAGATATATCATTGTCCTACTGCCATGGTAGAGCTCTTTCTGTGGGCACGTATGCCGTCGCCCCAGTCCTAGGCCTTCAGCTGGGTTTTATAAAACCTTTTTGCTTTAGGCCTCCGTCGCCATGTGCAAAAAAAAAAGGTTCAATATATCAATCAATTTCAACTTCTTGCGGGGAAAAAAAAGATCTCGCAAAGTTGGAATTGATTGATTAAACTTTTTAGTCCCACCCAGTCTGCTGTTATCATGCCCACCCAATTGGCCACACCCACCCAATGGCCACGCCCACCCAATGGCCACGCCCACCCGGCACCCGACGATACATAAGTGGTTTTGGGTTTCAGTTTGGGCACTCGGTCTCTAAAAGGTTCGCCATCACTGTCCTACTGGCTCATAATGCTGTTTAACTTAGTCTCGTTTGAGCATCAATCACTTTAAGTTGTGTGGACTTCAATTCCCAGAATTCTCCAGCCAGCCATTCTGGCTGGGGGATTCTGGGAGTTGAAGTCCACACACACACACACACCTTAAAGTGACCGAGGTTGAGAAATACTGTCCTAAAACAAGAAAGGGATATTCCTGGATTTTTAGTGACCATATAAATAGATATTTTTCCATGATGATCTCTCCCCAATCTGATCATTCAGGTCTTCTAAAGGTGTCCTCACCATCACTGTGACTGAGTCCATCCATCTGGCTGGTCCGTTGCTTTTTTTTTTTCCCTTCCACCTTCCCAGCATTATGGGCTTGCCAAGAGAGATGGGTCTTCCCATAACATGACTCCAATATAATTGGAGCCTGATCATTTGTGCCTTAGTTGGGTGACAACTTGGTGTTAACTCTTAGTGACCACAAAGAATTGATCTGTCCCCAGCGTGTTCCAATCAGTCCGCCTCCTCCTCCTCCTCCTCCTCTTCCTCCTCCATCTCCATTCCACAATCCCACTTCCCTTCTAGCACTGAAGATGTTACCTAGTTGGGTCAATGAAACATCTGCAACAAAACCACCAAGTTCAGAGTGCACCAAGGATCCCATAGTTGTTGTTGTTGTTCTTCTTCTTCTTCTTCTTCTTCTTGTTCTTGTTGTTGTTGTTCTTCTTCTCCTCCTCCTCCTCCTCCTCCTTCTCCTCCTCCTCCTCCTTCTCCTCCTCCTCCTCCTCCTCCCCATCTTCCTCTTCTCCATAAACCCCACTCCCTTCAAACACTGTTGGTGTTCTCTAGTTGGGTTATGGGACATCTACAAAAAACCCACCAAGCTCAGAGAGCGCTGATGACTCCATAGTCCTCCTCCTCCTCCTCCATCTCCATGTTTTGAGTGAAGACTGGCTGGTTTTGTTTGATGGTCCATCACTTTGTTTTCATGGCTGTCCATCATCTTCTCGGGAGCCTCCTCTAATGTCAAAGGATTCTGTCCCCAACACGTTCCTTCAGATCTTCCAGTGATGTTCCCATCGCCACTGAGTCCCTCCACCTTGCTGTGGTTGTCCTCTCCTCTCTTCCACTTTTTCTAGCATCAAAGCCTTCTCCAGAGAGCTGGATCTTCACATCATGCTTTCATAGTAGGAGAATTTGAACCTGGTCATTTGTGTCTTGAGGGAGAGCTCCGGGTTGATTTGTTCAATGATACGTTGGTGGTTTTTCTTGGCTGTCCTCACTCTTCTTAGTTGTCTTCTCCAACACCAAAGTTCAAAGACATCAATACCTTCTTTCTCAAAGTCCAACTGTCCATGAAAGGTCAGAGCGAAAACCATGCATGATTCTGATTGTCTATACCAGATATGTCAAACACAAGGCCCGGGAGCCAGATGTGGCCCACAAAGTGGTTTCACATGGAAACAGGGAGGGAACGGTCCCCGCTGCCTTGGCCCTGGCCCAGGCCAGCCGGGAGCCAATGTACAATTTTGTGGTGGCTATCTATTGTCAACGCTGCAAATATTGTATATTCTTGCTTTTGACAATATGCAGTATTGTCTGGTAAATATGGGGTTAATAAAGAGCAGAAGGGGCAGTTGGGGGTAAAGCCCGGGAAAGAAAGAGGAAGAAAACATTTGACCTTCACACTAATTGGATAGCCGTGAGATATGACGGCTAATTTAGGGAGGGAACAGGCTGATAATTTAACTGCTCAGAGGAAGAGAACTTAGATCCTAGCATCCCTCCGTTGTGCCTGTGCCGACATTTTGTAACATTAAAAGACTTTTAGGAAAATAAATGCCTGGAAGTTCTTTGGAATGTTTCATTAGCCGGAACCACAACATCTATGCTGAAAGGCATTCAGTCTTAGCTCCACAAGGCCGTTTGGAAACAGCGAGGAACCAGCCCCTGCCACGTCGGCCCTGCCCCCTGGGTGCATGCTGGGGAGGTGTCACCCTTTGTGAGGAATGAAGAAATGTACCATGCCTTGATGCTTGCCCCGGTCCCACCCTCTTCTGCCAGAGACCCTCAGATCTGTCCCACTCCTGCCCAGGCCCCCACAAGCCCCCTTGACGCGAATGATGTAGAATTGGCCATGCCTACCCAGTAGGCCACACCCACTCCATCCACACCCACCCAGTAGGCTGCACCCACCCTGGCCACACCCACCTGGCCCCCCCAGGGCAACCGCAATGCTGATGCGGCCCTCAATGAAATTGAGTTTGACACCCCTGGGCTATGGAGATTCTCCATGCTCCAGGTCCACGGTTGTCCCAAAGGTGTTTTTTCAGGAGGCAACTGGACTTTCTTGTTTTTCTCTGAAGACGTTTCGCTTCTCATCCCAGAAGCTTCTTCAGCTCTGACTGGAATGGTGGGAAATGGAAGGATTTACACTCCTTGCAGACAGCCGGTCCTTTGCCTTCTTTTAGAGCCGTGGTTCTCCACCTGTGGGTCGGGACCCCATTTGGGGTCGAACGACCATTTCACGGGGGTCGCCAAACAACACAGTCCGCCATTTTTTCTCCCCTTTTCCTTAGCTGTGCTACTCCCTTTTATTCTATTGGCTTTTGAAAAGCCAATAGAATAGACTCTCTTGAATAGAGTCTAATTCTATTGGCTTTCCAAAGCCAATAGGAATTGTCCAGGCTGTCTCTGCCCTGCTGAGCCCGCCAAAAGTCCCATTCTGCAAACGGTGCTGCACCAGTTGAGTAGTCCTCGACTTACGACCAGTTGAGTAGTCCTCGACTTACGATCCGTTGGGGGTCGCGGCATTAAAAAGGTTGAGAACCACTGTTCTAGAGAAACGTTGAGGCCACCTGGAGGCTGACCTGTGTCCTCAGGGTCACCTGAGCAGTGCAAATGGGTGGGGAGCCTATGAGAATCTCCATAGACCTTTAGCCATGCACTTTGGGAGGAACACACTTCGAATGATGTGGGAGGAGGAAAAGATTCCCAGAAAACATGGCAGACTATACAGGATCCATTTGCGCTTCATTTGGAGATGCAGACCACACAGACTCATCCCCAACAGCCTGTGTGCCCGTCTTCAACGGGGAAGGGACCCAGGGCAGAAACCATCCTGCAGCCGAGAAGGCTCCCCACCCATTTGCACCACTCAGGTGACCCTGAGGACACAGGTAAACCTCCAGGTGGCCTCAACAACTCTCTACAACAGGGGTGTCAAACTCAATTTCATTGAGGGCGGCATCAGCATTGCGGTTGCCCTCAGGGGGCCGGGTGGGTGTGGCCAGGGTGGGTGCAGCCTACTGGGTGGGCGTGGATGGAGGGGGTGTGGCCTACTGGGTGGGCATGGCAGCTCTACATCATTCACGTCAAGGGGGCCTGTGGGGGCCTGGGCAGGAGTGGGACAGATCTGAGGGTCTCTGGCAGAAGGGGGGGGACCAGGGCAGAGCCCATCAAGCCGGATAGGTAAAATAGGCGAGGGCCATTTGCTGGCCACTTCCAGGCGATGGTCCATCTCTTCATTCCTCACAAAGGGTGACCCCTCCCCAGCATGCACCCAGGGGACGGGGTCAATACAGCAGGGGCCGGTTCCTCGCTGTTTCCAGACGGCCTTGTGGAGCTAAGATTGAATGTGTTTCAGCCTAGATGGCCATCACAAAATTGTGCATTGGCTCCCGGCCGGCCTGGGCCAGGGCCAAGGCAGCGGCGGCCGTTCCCTCAGTGTTTCCAGGATGGCTTTGCAGGCCACATGAAACCACTTTGTGGGCCGCATCCAGCCCCCGGGCCTTGTGTTTGACATATCTGCTCTAAAAGAATGCAAATGACCAGCTATCTGCAAGGAGTATAAATCCTTCCATTCCCCACCATCCAGTAAGAGCTGAAGAAGCTCCTTTGATGAGAAATGAAACATCTTCAAAGAAAAACAAGGAAGTCCTCAAAATTCACCTTTGGGACACAATTCTGGTCTTTCTAGGTGGAGACATTTCCCAATATCTGAATATCTTCTCCAGGACCTGGAAGGCTGCGCCACTGAACGCTACCCTGCGGAGTGTTTCTTAACTGTTTATTTTTTAAAAAACGGTTGACGGTTCATCTTCAAAGGCCGTCCTAAAGTTACAAGGACTGACGCACGCCATTATTTCCCTAAAGTTCCGAAATAACATAGTAAAAGCGGTCAACGGGTGGCTAACGTCAAGATGTGAACCTGCCAAAAGAAATCAGACACTCAATTTTTGACCCTATCAAATATCTCAGTCTCTGTGAAAAGAAATCCTTTAAGGACAAGTCGTCCTTGACTTACGACTGTAATTGAGTGTTGGTCGTTAAGTGGGTCACCACATGACCGGGTCCAATTTTTCCTCCTGTTTTGGTGAGGCTGATAAATGACTGCAAGGGTTGTTCATTATGGGGGTTTGTGCCAGGAACTGGAAGTAAAGGCTGGTTTCTGGGAAAAACGTAAACTATAGTTTCTTGACATGGCAAACAGACACAAATCTAGTCTGGTTGCCAAGTGTCTCAGATATAGTCACATGATCCCTTAGAACTCAGAAATGGGTGGTAAATAATTTTTTTGGGGGTGTCTTTTGTAAGTTTCGATGACTGCTAAGCATTTGGTTATAAGCTGAGGTCTAGTTCTAATGTTGGGCATTGTTGCAGATTGTATGTAATAACAACAATAATAATAAAGTTGGAAGGGACCTTGGAGGTCATCTAGTCCAACCCTCTGCTCAAGCAGGAAACCCTATACCATTTCAGACAAAAGGTTGTCCAATCTCTTCTTAAAAACTTCCAATGTTGGAACATTCACAGATTCTGGAGGCAGGTTGTTCCATGGGTTAATTGTTCTAACTGTCAGAAAATTCCTCCTTAGTTCTAGGTTGCTTCTCTTTGATGAGTTTCTGTTGCTTCTTGTCCTGTCTTCGGGTGCTTTGGAGAATAGCTAGACTCCCTCTTCTTTGTGGTAGCCCCTTAGAGATTGAAACACTACTATTATGCCCCCCTTCTCTTCATTAAACTAGACATACCCAATTCCAGCAACCGTTCCTTATATGTTTTAACCTCCAGTCCCCTAATCATCTTTATTGCTCTGCACTCTTTTTCGAGTCTCAGCACGTTTGTTACATCGCGGTGACCAAAACTGGATGCCATATTCCAAGTGTGGCCTTAACAAGGCCTTGTAAAGTGATATTAACCCTTCATGTGATCTTGATTCTATTATCTACAAGAATATTGCTGTCCTCCAAACTTCCTTTCAAGGCAGGCCAAGAAACAAGAATTGGAAATCAAGTCCTAAAAAGGAAAATTGGAGTGGGGATCCTGGGGTTGGGGGAAAAGGACAATAGTCCTCTTTAAAGACTTGCAGGATCTCCGAGAAAATATAAATAGTCCTCGACTTAACGTCCATAAGGGAGCAAACCAAACAAGATGGGCGACAATCAAATCTAAGAAATAATTTTAAAAAAATAAAACCAATATCAAATAGGAGTCACACAGGAAATCCACCCCAAGCCCTGCCAAGAAAAGATTTTTAAATCAATGAATTAAAGTGAAGACAAATTAACCCGTGGAACAGGTGGGCGCTCCATCACTGGAGATTTTTAAGGCTAGACATTTGTCTGAGAGGGTATAGGTTCTCCTGCTTAAGTCACTTGTTTGAGATGGTATAGATTCTCCTGCTTAAGACCTCCAAGGTCCCTTCCAGCTCTATTCTATTATTATTAAATTCAGTAAAATACATTTCAAAAAGATAAAATTCTTTTCAAAATGCAGGGCTCCTTGGCTGTCACAAGGGGGCGCCCGAACCTCACAGCTAGGCAAGTTGGAATTATCGTAGTTTTCTTAAGATTTGGGGGGGTCTCAGCACGGCGTGTCCTCCTGAAAACTCCACTCAGCCATCTTGGCTTGTTGGGGGCGATGTTTTCTGTCCCCCGAGAGGGTGGCTAGCATGGTGGTGTGCCAATCTTTTAAGAAATAAAGCCAAACCTGGCTTGTCTTGCCGGAAAGCAGCCTTTATCAAGTTAAACTAGTCTCAACCTCAGCAGTTTTAAGGTGGGTGGACTTCCACTCCCAGAATTCCATCAGCCAGTATGCATTAAGATGGGTGGACTTCAACTCCCAGAATTCCCCAGCCAGCATGCTTTAAGGGGATGGACTTCAACTCCCAGAATTCCCCAGCCAGAATGCTTTAAGATGGGTGGACTTCCACTCCCAGAATTCCCCAGCTAGCATGCTTTCAGGTGGACTTCAGCTCCCAGAATTCCCCAGCCAGCAGGCTTTAAGAGGAATGGACTTGAACTCCCAGAATTCCCCAGCCAGTATGCTTTAAAATGGTGGACTTTAACTCCCAGAATTCCCCAGCCAATCTTGCTTTATGATGGGCGGACGTGCCTGGCTGAGGAATTCTGGGAGTTGAAGTCCACAAGTCATAAAAGGGCCGAGTTGGAAGACTCCTGTCCTAGTTAATTTAATGGTTTTGCAAATATCAGGGAGCACAAGCTGGCAGAAACCCTGTGCTGTGACTAACTCAGGCTGGCTGGGATACTGGTTTGTTGTTCTTGCCACTCTAGGCATCCCGCTTTGTGTACTCATTCATTTCAGGTGTGGCTAAAGGCAAAATGAACTTCTCTTTCCTGAAAAACAGCTTGGCATTATCCTCTTTATTTTGCCAGACCTTCTGTCCCCCCCCCCCGCCAACTTTTTCTACCAAGACCAGAGAAGATTGGGGTTCGAGTCCAGCCAGCCGTTGAAAGCTCCTGGTTCTGTCCAGCCTACTTGACAGGGAGAGTGGAATGGGAGGAAAAGACACGGTGAGGCTTTGGGAAGTAAAGCTGGGATGAAACCAGGTTTAGATCTGTAGATCAGAGGTCCACAAACTTGGCAACTTTAAGACTTGTGCACTTCAACTCCCAGAATTCCTAGGCTGGCTATAGAGTTAGAAATGGAGAATCAATAGTTGACCAAGATGAATTAAGAGTCTGTATTAAAAGTTCAAGCAGGAGAACCTAAATACCAGTGATGGTGAACCTTTTAGAGACCGAGTGCCCAAACTGTAACCCAAAACCCACTTATGCATGTCGGGTGCCTGGTGGGTGTGGCCCGTTGGGTGGGTGTGGCCTATTGGGTGGGCGTGGTTGCAGTGGTAACGGCAGACGGGTGGGACTAAAAAGTTTAATCAATCCCCACTTTGCAAGATCTTTTTTTTCCCACAAGAAGTTGAAATGGACTGATTGATTGAACTTTTTTTTTTGCACACGGCGGCGGAGGCCTAAAGCGAAAAGGTTTTATAAAACCCAGCTGAAGGCCTAGGACTGGAGCGACGGCGCGCGTGCCCACAGAGAGGGCTCTGAGTGCCGCCTCTGGCACCCGTGCCATAGGTTCGCCACCACTGCTATATACCATTTCAATCGATCAGAATACAACTGGAAGGGACCCTGGAGGCCTTCTAGTCCAGCCCCCTACTCAAGCAGGAGAACCTCTACCAGTTCTTAAAAACTTCCAGCTGGAAATCCCCCCTTAACAATCTGGACGAGGGGATAGATGGGGAACTCATCAAATTTGCAGACGACACCAAGCTGGCAGGAATAGCCAACACTCCAGAAGACAGGCTTAGGATACAGGAGGATCTGGACAGACTTGAAAACTGGGCACTATCTAACAAAATGAAATTCAATGGTGAAAAAAGTAAGGTTCTACATTTAGGCAAGAAAAACCAAATGGACAGGTATAGTACAGGGGGTACCTTGCTCAATAGTAGTAACTGTGAGAGGGATTTCGGAGTCCTAGTGGACAATCCCTTAAATAGGAGCCAGTCGTGTGCTGCAGCTGCCAAAAAGGCCAACACAGTGCTGGGCTGCATTAACAGAGGGATGGAATCAAGATCAGGTGAAGTATTAATAACACTTTACAAGGCCTTGGTGAGGCCACACTTGGAATATGGCATCTGGTTTTGGTCACCACGATGTAAAAAAGATGTTGAGACTCTAGAAAGAGTGCAGAGAAGAGCAACAAAGATGATTAGGGGACTGGAGGCTAAAGCATATTTAAGGAACGGTTGCTGGAATTGGGTCTGTCTCGTTTAACGAAGAGAAGGACAAGGGGGGACATGATAGCAGTGTTCCAGTATTTGAGGGGCTGCCCCAAAGAAGAGGCAGTCAAGCTATTCTTCAAAGCGCCTGAAGGCAGGACAAGAAGCAACGGGTGGAAACTAACCAAGGAGAGAAGCAACCTAGAACTAAGGAGAAACTTCCTGACAGTGAGAACAATTAACCAGTAGAACAACCTGCCTCCAGAAGCTGCGAATGCCCCAACACTGTAGGTTTTTAAGAAGAGACTGGACAGCCATTTGTCCAAAATGGTGTAGGGTTTCCTGCCTGAGCAGGGGGTTGGACTAGCGGACCTCCAAGGTCCCTTCCAACTTTACTATTATTATTATTAATATTAACCCCGCGCGCGCGTTCACACGACCCTGAAACACGGCCTGCGAGCAAGCGAGCGGGCTGGCGGGCGGGGCGGGGCCTGCGCGCGGGGGCGTGTGCGGGGGGGGGGGGCGTGGAGCGCCACGCGGGGCAGTGGGCGCGGCAGCGCCCCCTGGCGGCGGCTGGCTGGCTGGCTGGCTGGCCGGGCGGGCGGGCATGGCTGCGCTGGCCGAACTGCTGGGCGAGGCGCTGGCGGCGCCCGACGGCTCGGCGGTGGCCACGGCGTCGCTGCCGGCGCGGGGCGTCTCGCTGGTGGGGCTCTTCTTCGGCTACTGCGGCGGGGGGCCCTGCGCCCAGGTGGCCGCCAACCTGGCCGCCTTCTACGCGCGCTTCCAGCCCGGCGGCCCGGAGGGCGCCGCCGCCGCCGCCGCCACCGGGGGTGCCTCCGCCGCCGCCGCCCCGTCCCGCCCGCCGCCGCAGCGCCTGGAGATCGTCTTCGTCTCGGCCGAGCAGGAGCAGCCGCGCTGGCAGGAGGCGACGCGGGCCATGCCCTGGCCGGCGCTGCCCTTCGCCGACAAGCGCCGGAAGGTGAGAGCGGGGACGGGGAGGGGGCGGCCGGGTCGGGGCTGGGGGCTGGAGGGGGGGGGCAGCTGGAGGGGGGCCCAGCTGGACGGGGAGGGGGTGGCCGGGACGGGGCTGGGGGCTGGAGGGGGGGCAGCTGGAGGGGGGGCCTGGCGACCCCCTCCCCCGGGTCTCGCCGGGGAAGCCCCCTCCTCTTCCTAGAGAGGGGGGGACTGCCTTGGGGGTCCCGGCCCCCCTTTGCCAAAGGGGAAGGGCGGGCGGGGGTCAGCGGGGGGAGGAGATGCCAACCAGCCCGGCGACCCCTCCCCCGGGAAAGCGGAGCTGGTCCCCCCCCGGGGAAGCCCCCTCCCCATCTTCGAGTGAGGAACGGCCGGGGGAGGGTCTGCGCCACCTTTGCAAAGCCGGGGGGAGGGTCTGCATGGAGTGGGGGGGGGAAGGGCAGCCCGGCGCCCCCTCCCCAGGAAAAGCGGAGCTGATCTCGGCGGGTAGCCCCCTCCCCTTTAGAGAGGAGGAAACTGTTAGAGGGGGGTGTCCCGGCCGTGTCCTCTTTGCACAGCCGGGGGAGGTTTGCGGGGGGGGGGAAGTGGAGGAGATGCAAAGCTGGCTGCTGCCCCCCCCTCCTGGGAAAAACCTTCTTCTGAAGCCCCCTCCCCTTCATAAGAGCCAGGAACGGCAGGAGAGGGGGGGGGAGTTCTTGCCCTCTTTGCAAAGTGGGAGTCGGGATGATTTGGGGGGGGGGGACGGAAGAGGAGAGGCAGACCAGCCTGACGCCCCCCTCCTTCCCCGGAAAAACAACCTTTTTCTGAAGCCCCCTCCCCTTCTGAGCACAGGAAAGTGTCTTGGGGGTCCCAGCTGTGCCCTCTTTGCAAAGAGGGCGTGGGAATGGGGCCGAAGGAGGGGGGTGGAAGATGCGAAGCACCCTGGGGTCCCCTCCCCCCCCCGGAAAAACGGAGTTGATCTTATGGGGAAGCCCCCTCCCCTTAAGAGCTGCAGGGAACTGTCTTGGGGGTCCCGGCTGTGCCCTGTTTGCAAAATGGGGGTCAGGATGAGGGGGGGCCAAGAAGGAAATGCAAAGCTGACGCTGGGAAAACCTTGGCCGAGAAGCCCCCTCCCCTTTAAAAAAAACTGCAGGGAGAGGGTCTCTGCCCTGCCTGCACCCTGAAGTCGCCTGTCACTCTTTGCAAAGCGAGGGTGGTGGTGTCGTGGGGCATAACGGGGTGGGGGGAGGCGGTGGGGAGAGGGAAAGCTGGCTATTACCCCCATCCCCTGGAAAAACGGGACCTAATTCCAGGGGGGGGAAGCCCCCTCCCCTGGAGCCCAGGAAACTGCAGCGGAGGGGGTCCTTCTTTGTGCCCACTCTTTGCAAAAAAGTGGGATGGGGGGGGAGTTATTGTGGAATTGCATAATGTGGGGTGGGATTGTATGGAGAGGGGGGGGATGTCTATCTTTCAACCAGATTTGCAGATTGCAATCCACTCCTTCCTCATTTCCCCCCCCTCCCCAAAATTGGGACCCCAGTGACCCCATTAAATGGGGTCGCTTTCCTTAGATGGCGATTAAATGGGAGGTTCGCGCCTTTTATTTATTTATTTTTGCAAAAAAAAAATCATAAGGGGGTGTGTGTTTTGAGGGGGTGTGTGTTTTCCTTGGCAAAACTGCACCTGCCCTCATTCAGACAAACAAACAAAACAACAACAACAGGGGAGCGTTTTTTAAAAAGAGGGTTTTCCAAGTGGCTTCCCTTTTCTGCCTTGGATTTTTTTTGGGTGGGGGAATCTGCAAAAATTCACATCGCTGTTTTTTTTTTTTTCTGGTTGCAAAGGAATCCATCCAGATTAAATGGCTTTTTAAAATAAAATAAAATAAAATAAAATTGGTTGGAACAGCTGAGGTTAAGGCAAACCTTGGAAGGATGCACAAATATTGTGATTTTTCTAACCCCCCCCTTTTTTTTTCCAATTTGGATTCTCTTTATTTTCCATTATCTTCCTTAAACTGTCTTGGTCTTAAGGTTGGATTGCCTTGCCTTGCCACTGGTTTTCGGAACCCATGGTTCACAGCCGTGGAGGGCGGGGTGATAGATGCCATTGTCCAGCGCCACAACTGGGGGAGGTGAAAAAAAATCTGCATTTACATCCATTCAGAATTCCTAATCTTGCTGAATTCCACCCAGAACGGTGGACGGATGCAACGCAGACCCCCCAAATTCCCCAAACCTTTAATTTTTTTTGATATTTTCTATATGACTCTCGTAAGAAAATGCAGAATTTTTTTTAGTGTTAAGATTGCCATGGATCGCAGCCCGTGTTATGTCATACATTGGGCGAGGTGTGTTGTGATCAGTCAACACAAGATAATGCATTGTTAATTTTTAAAATGGCACGCGCCTCTTTGTTTATAGGCTGCAATAAAATTAACACACGGCAAACCTTTCGGATAAAAAAGTTCACTGGGGAGGTTCATGTATGTGTTTTTTCTTCATACGTGTGTGTGTGTCTGTACATATTTCATTTCAACAGGCGTACAATAGAAAAAAAAAGCATGCTTGTAGATCAGGGACCCCCAATTAATAGCTGGTTTGCAGCGTTGAATTTTTCAGGACTTTTGCATGACAATTAGTGTCAGAGGTTTTTTGGGGGGCACATAAAATATAGATTATTCTGACCTTAAAAGTGAGCGCACCCTTTTTGAGTGAGCTTGAATTAAATTAAATCAAATTTGCTACGCTTAGATATGCACTGCTGCTTTTGGGGAAGGCGAGGGGTGAATAGGTTTGCAAACAAGAGCCAAAACTATCGGCCTTAAAAAAGAAAGAAAGAAAGAATAAGACGTGTATTTATTTTTATCTTAGCTTTAGCAACATTTTTAGGCCATTGTTCCATTGAAATAAGTCCCAAGGGAAAACAATGGCAAATAAAATTTCAACCAGGAGATGTGCTATCATAGTAACCAATTTTAAGGTGTTTCGGGAAAGATACTTTGATTTGTATTGAAGAACACCGAGGATTGTGTAGAAGTGTTTCACACCCAGGGATTGTGCAAATTATTTTAGATTGCTTTTTCCTTGTTTTTTTTTTTTAAATTCTAAGTCAGCTTGGGGAAATTTAAAGGTGTGCTTTAAATTTGACAAGCTTGTGGATTGTGGCAATATTTGGATACGTCTAAGCAGGCCGGTGAGTTTGAGAGGGGAAATAATCTAACTCTCTTTAATTTAATTTAATTGCGCACCATCTTTCTGATTTCTGCTTACGGCGCGATGGAGCAAGGAAGCGCGCCCAGTGAGGTCTAGAAGCTTGACATTTACCAACAACTCTCCTTTAATTTTCAAAGGCCTGATCTATGTCTCCTTGACCTGTCCCAGCTTGTGGGATAGGTTTTCGTTGTGCTTCGTGGTTTAAAATAGCCGTGGCAGCAGTCGCTCACGTATCAAAAAATATGTCAAAAATTTGCGGGGAGCTGAAGAGACACGTCTTAAGAGTCATTGCGCAACTGGATCTGGAATTTCCTTGGGGTTAAGGGCCGGGACGAGGGGGGGGGAATGTTATTTGCTACCTGTTGGTTTAATTCCTGATGCAAAGGTGGTTTTGCACTGTGCGTGCTACTACCTGTGGTGCAATTCAGGCATGAATGACGAAGATTTGAGCCTGTGGCGAATCAAATGTAGAATTTTTCCCTTTGTTTTCATCTCCGGCTGCTTTTTTAAGGTTAGGCAGGGGAGGAAAATTATATCAAACATCTCCAGGGTGTGTTTTGCAAGAAAAGTGAGCTTTCCCAATGCTTGTTCCTTGCCTGGTTGTTATTGCATTGATAGGAGTTGGGCAGGCAATGTTAATTTAAGTTATTATTGCTGGATTTAAATCAAAGAAGTGGCTAGTCATCCTTGTGGGAGACGAATCCACGATAACAATTATGCTCAGAGGTTGCACAGTTAATCTGCATCTTGAGGAGGTGGAGGTTGGTTTTTGTTTTTTTTTCCTGTTCGTTGCTAAAATAGGATTTGGGTTTCATGCCAGTTGAATCTTTAGCAGCTCCGGAAGAGAAGAGAAGATGCTTGTTTAACATGTTGGAATCAAATCTGGTTTGATTTCTTAATTTGCTACAGATGTTGGCTCAAAGGATTTGTTGAAGGAGCCCGGAGGGTTTAAACCTAGTGCCTGGGACTTTATTATGTATTCATCTGTTCAGTTTCTGACGAATAAATGGAATTTGCTCCTGTTCACTCCACTTAGATCACATTTTGACCCCCCCAAACGGGATCCAGTGATCCACTTTTCCCCAAAGCAAAACACAGCAGGATTCCCAATTTTCCAGAAATGTGCTTCTTCTATTTGGGAGACTGATTCAAGTGGACAATTTATTAGTGCAACTTTTTTTTTCCTTCCCATACTTGGAAAAGTGTTTTTTTTTTTCTAGGCAGAGGCAATGATTTTGTATATTTTTTCCTATTTACTTCTAAAATGTGATGGGATTGTTTCCCTCCCCACCCCCCACTTTTCTGTTGTCAATTTGAGAAATGTTCAAATTTGCTGGAAGAAACGGGAAATTTTAGCCATAGGGAAGGTTCCCTAGAGGTCATCCAGTCCACCCCACCATACCTTCCCCTCTCAGGAAAGGAATCCAGATTAAGCTACGGTATTATGCAGCCAAGCGGCAGCTTGCCACCTTTTTAAGAAATTGGGTTCACTATTTAATAGCTCTTACTTTTTGGAGATGTTTTTTTTTTAATTTTTAATATTCAAGTTTCTCCATTGCCAGGATAAATTGGCAATTATTGACTGAAAGAATAATTAGGACAAATGTATTTATCTACTTAATGTTTTACTGTTTTAAGCTTTTATAATATCATTTTATCAATTTGTAAGCTGCCCAGAGTTGGATAACAGAAAGGTAGCCAGCAAATACATTTAAAAATAGATAGACAGACAGACAGACAGACATGATAGACATGATAGACATGATAGATAGATAGATAGATAGATAGATATTAGAGATATTAGACACAGATA